TGCCACCCCCACCCCTTGCCACTGATTGGCTGAGAGGCAGCCCCGCCCCTCCACCGATCAGCAGTGAGGGGTGGGGCCCTATGATGGACAGCCCTTTCAGCCAATCAGCAGCAAGGGGTGGGGCTGTATGACAGATACAAATGATGGACAGCCCTTTCAGCCAATCAGCAGCAAGGGGTGGGGCTGTATGACAGATACAACTCACTGGTGAAGAGGGCATACAAGGGGGCACCAGGGCCCCACAGCCAATCAGAGACTTGGGGGTGGCAGGGCTACCTCAATAAGCCATCCATAATAGCAGCCAGCCCTGCCATCTGCCCATGAAATCAGTCGACTGCCTCTTCGACTTGGGTAGTTCCCTACTTACATGACTGTTATTACTGGAAGCGCAGGCAGCCTGTCAGCTCGTGAATGGGAAGGCAGTTGTCACCAAACAGCTATTCTAACACATGCCATAAGATGGTGTGCAGTGGATTGCCTCATTTTTGGACAAATATTACTGGAGATATATCGAAATCAGAGAAGCATTTCTACAAAGTCAATCACAAGTAAGGCTCTGTTTCTGTCATTCCTCCCATCACAAATAGGAGTTCTTAGCATTTTTTTGAGTATTTTAACTTGATAAATTTATGCAAAATTCTGTCTTGAGCCAAATCATTTCTGGATGCAGAAGTCATCATAGACTGACTTGAAGTTTAAGTGACACTGTTGTTAACACAGATGAGGCAAAGCAGTCTTAACTTCTGTACATTTGTCACAGCTTCTATCTCAGCCAACCTTTTTCACTGCTGTATTAATTTTCCACCTTCTTCATTGTTTTTAATGCATCATTTCAATGGTGCAGTTGGAGGGTTGCAGAACAAGTGTGAGTGTATTATCATTAAACAAATCTTCCAAAGAAAAAAGGCTGTGTTTGCACAACATTACACATGCTGATATTTGAAAGGGAACAATTATGTACTTTTAAGTGCAGTATGCAGGGTTCCCTGACGTTTTTTCAGTCCCCATGGAAACTGTCAGACCTTGCTCCATGCAGGAGCGTGCCAGCTGCTCAGCTCCTTTTCATCTGTCCTGTTAGCCAAAGTCAATAAAATTAGTTCTTCTAGATATGATTGCCCTGGTACCAGCAGGCAGGGCTGGATTACCATACCCATTAGTGATTTTCCATTGTATTTATTTTTGTTTTTTCATATCTAAACAGTTGCCAAAGCCTGGTAGTTGGTTATAAAATGATTTCTCATTCAAGCTTATGAACTAGCAACCCACTGGTGCACATACATATGCTAAAGGAATAATCATCTATCTGCACATAGACCATGCAGAAATAGAAATGCCCAAGTCAATCCTCATAAACTTTTTGTGTGTCCAGGCTGACAAATCTTTAAAGTTCAGTGATGTTTCATGGGGGTACTGAGAGGAAAGAAATAGTAAAAGCAAATAATGAGAACTGGAATAAGCAGATTTTTCTGACTCTATGAATCGTACATATAGTACTAAAATTAACAGAGCACTGCATGAAGTTATGCAATTGGGGGTGTGGGACATTAATTTAAAACATCTGTATATGTCATATATTCCATATATACTATTTTCACAGATTGCCTCCTCTGTTCAACTGTGGAACTATGTAACAGGATACAGACCCATACAATACATTAATTTATCAAATACAATTTTATTTTAGTACATGCCTGGAGAAGCAAAAGCTCTGGGGTGACTTGATGGCAGCCTATAAGGGGTGTGCATCAGGAACTGGGAGAATGTCTGTTCACCAGGGCACCCCAAGGGAAGACGAGGTCTAATGGTCACAAACTGCTGGAAGACCATTTTAGACTGGACATAAGGAAAAACTTCTTTACCATCCAAATTTCCAGAGTCTGGATTAGACTCCCCTCAGAACTGGTGCAAACACCCACTCTGGATATCTTTAAGATACACTTGGATGCCTATCTTGCTGGGGTGATCTGACCCCAGCTGACTTCCTGCCCCTTGGGCAGGCAGCTGGACCTGATGATCTTGCAAGGTCCCTTCCAGCCCTAATGTCTATAAAATCTACCAGATCTTTGGGCTGTCAGTTTCTCTGTTTATTACTGCAGCAACCTATCACTAAAATGTTGCATCTGTATCTTTGTAAGGCCCAGAAGAGGCAAGATTCAGTCCTGCTCAGAGATCTAAAACAGGCATGACCTTTAAGTCTGTTATAACACAAACCTACCATCCAATCAGTAGTGTGCCTCAGGAGAGGGGCAGTACATGTAGTGATTTAGTGATCAGTTGAATTTAATGATCAGATCACACCAGCACTGAAGGGAAGTCAAGTCTTACAGAAGCTTTGGCAGAAAACTAGCTTCAGTATAGTTTTATATGAAGTCAGGTATCCAGGTTGTAGCCGTATTGGTCTAGAGGAAAAGGCAATCAGGACTCGTAGTAGACATTATATCTTTTATTAGACCAACAAGATTTTGCAAAAAAAATTCTTTAATTGTAAGCTTTCGGGCACAACCACCCTCTATCAGGCATTGGAGAAAAGATTGTAAAAGTTCTCGTGGATAGACATGAAAGTTCATATTTCATAGGATTTCACAGAAGAGTCAATAGATGGAAAACTCCTCTGGGCAGGCAGTTCATAGTTGGTATGGAGCCTCTCACGTCTTGTGAGGATCTGTGATGATGCAAATTACCTTGAAATGAAGGCAGGAGCAGGAAAAAATATATGAATTCATTCAGCTTCAACACAGAAAGCTGGGGGGAGTGTACAGAATCCCATTCAATCTGGAGGGAACATTTGACACTGGGTGCAGGTCAACATGAAGCAGTTTTGATTCAGAGGATGGAAGAAAAATAAGGAAGAAAGCAGCGTGCTGTAAACTTGGACTCCAACTCAGACAACATATGGATCTGTGAAACTTGTAACACGCTATGTTGCTCTTGAATTGGACTTGTCAGCTACAAACGGATTCATCAGGCATCTGACTGGAGTTCTTACATGTACACCATGATCCACAGGATCAACGGTTGCCTGTTCCAGATTTTAGCTGCTCTTGAATTGTTGGAGCTATTGCTCTGCTGATTCCATGTGCTAAGCCTTTGTTATGTCACTTTTAAACAAATTATCCACAAAGCTCAAAAGCAAATCTAGGTTTGGATTTCCAAGATGAATTCCCCTGATCAGAGGTTCCACTTGATGTGTTTATCGCTATTTTAATATTGTTTTGTGTTCCAGATTGTACTGTGCTAAAAATGTTAGTTTTTCAGTTTTAGTCTTAGATGTAATATATTAACTGTATCTTTGCTTCCACAGGCTTCTAACTGTGCTGCTGCAGCAATCGAATCTTAGTGAAATTAATCATCAGGATAATGAGGTGAGTATATGTGCACTGAAATTATTGCCCCACAAGGTGAAGTTCCTGCAATCTAGATGGGTCCACTGTACTATCTACTAATAGTAAGCTGTACTACTATGCAGTGATCAGCACTTCTCAGTGAAGGTCCTTACAGCACTTTGCAAAGACTGCTATACATTTTCCTGCTGTATATGTCTTGTTCAGCTCCTAAGCACAGATCTCCAGGACAACTGCTAGCAGGTGGGAGAAAACCTTTGATTGATAAACCCATCTCTTCCACAAGCTATCAGTTATGGGGCTATCCCTAGCAAACATTTCTTAACCAACTTGTTAGGAACGGTATCACTTCACTTAGTTCAAAGTTAGACACCAGAACTAATTTTCTGCTTTGCTAGGCATCCCACCATCAGGGAACTGGAGCCATTAGGAATCATGCCCAATTGCTATGGTCCCTAAAGGCCCATACAACAGCTAAAGATATGGCTGGGGGAGAGTATACAAACCAGCTGGGGTACACCAACTGCCCAGGCTAAGTATTTCCCAATGCCAGAGAATAAATGCTCAGGTTGGCATATCTACTTGTTTACCAGTACACATACAACCCAAAGGGGCCAGAGCACAACAGAGTATTAGACTCAGTTTTCATATGAATCGCTTTAGTTCTGGCAGCAACCTTAAAATCCTGCTGATCTCCATAGCTCCCAAACCTCCAGGGGCCAGGACCAGGGGAGCTAGTCATTTAACTTCCTCTCTCTGACAGTGTTCCCTCTAAGCTGCGCGTGTGCACAGCTGTACACAAGTAAAAATCCTGCTGCGCACAAACTTTTTAAGGCGGCGCACCCTCCTGGGGAGGAGCTGGGCGTAGAGTGCGGCGGAGGCACTGGGGCCGGCATGGGACACTTACCGAGGTAAGCTCCTCAGACGGGGCAGGCAGCAGCTCCTCCCTGAGGCGAGGCTGGGCCAGGGATGGGGATGGGAACGGGGGCTGTGGGCTAGCACGGGCTCCGCCGGCTCTAGGCGACTGCTCCGCGCCCCCGCGTCGCCTCAGGGAGCGAGGAGGCACGTGGCGGCAGGGCTGGGGGGTGGAGCAGTTCCCCAGAGCCGGCGGAGCCCGCGCCAGCCCAGCCGTGCCTCACCTTGGGGAGCGAGTTTGGCTAGAGTGCTTTCGCCAAAACTTTAAAAAGAACAAAACCAGTGAACTGGTAAAACTTTGTTGATAAAAATATGGACCCAGAATTGTATGAAGTTCTCAAGCAACTTTTGGCAATATTAACCTGTCTTGCAGGTGCAGAGAGTACTTTACTTGATTCGGATAGTCCTGATCAATTATTACTTCATTTAAAATTTAAACAGAATGGGATTAGAAAACTTGTTTTTTTTCCTCTTTCAGTCTAGAAATAATAACTAAATACATGAGGATGAGACACATTTGTTCTAAAATCTTGAAGAGTATAGCAATAACAAACAATTTATTAGTTATGGATAATACTTTTAATAAAGCATTTAGTTTTGAATGCAAAATATAACTCTTTTTTTTCCTTTGGTATCAAGAATTTATAAGAAATTTTCTTTAATGAAAAAAAATTAAATATCTTTGCGCATTTAAATAGCTTCACATTTTCATTCAAAATCACCTTGACAAAACTAGTAAGATATTCAGCATCTAGTAAATCAGAAATACGTTTCTTAGTTGCGATCATGATAGATTCTTACATTTTAGATTTTTAGGTGTTAAGCTACAAGTGATTGTGCCCAGCCCATGGCTGCCTCACACCACTCCACTGCGCTGCTCTGGGCAGCAGTTAGCATGGCGAAGCGTGGTGGCCGAGTCCTGCCCACTCCCACCTGGACACTTACTTTGGGACACTTAGCAGCAGACCGCACCAAAAGGGGGAGGTGGGACCGAAGCGGCGCAGTCGGAGACCGAAGTGGCACGTTCACGGACCACTACTCCTTAGAGGGAACATCGCTCTCTGACCTTATACTTCATGTCCAACCATCCATACTGTGGTTTGCAGAGGCTGTTTATAACCACTTACACAGGACCTGTGAGATGATCCTCTGACACTGTGGAGTTGTCAGTAATCTCCATAGAACCCAGTACAATACTCTGAATCTTTAGTGTTTTACTATATGTTTCCCCCCAGAAAATCTTTAAGTCAAAAGTTCATTAAATGCCACCTGACACCAGGAAAATATTTTTCCACTGTTCAGTGCTAGACCCTACAAATTTATGTGTTTTTGGAATGTGATTGCTCAAGGCTAGTTTTGACTAACAAAGACCTCCTCCCCCTTCTCCTTCCTCTCTGGAAGGATAAAGGTGAAGTTTTCCTACCTATAAACTTAATAAAAAAATACCCCATAAAAGAACTATATAAATACATTCAGTAGTATGGAATACATCTGGAGGTTTCACAATTTCTGTGACTGTGGTTGCCTATGATTTTATGCATGGAGGCTGCCAAAGGATGATATGCATAGGAGTTCCCTGAAGAAGCACAGAAGCTGGATAAAAATATAAGATGGGCCATTTCCCAGGGAGGACGGCAGGTGCCGTCTCTCTGGTATCAACTTCCCTTATGACTGGATTGACATTGGTTACCCTCCTTCCGCAAGAGGAGACTGAAGGGGGATCTTGTGGCTGCCTACAACCTTATCAGGGGCCACCAGCAGGGACTCGGGGAAAGTCTGTTCACCAGGGCCCCCCTTGGAGTCACCAGGACCAATGGCCACAAGCTGAGGGAGAACAGGTTTAGGTTACATATTGGGAAGAACTACTTCACTGTAAGGGTGGCCAGAGCCTGGAATAGGCTTCCCAGAGAGGTGGTGCTCTCACCTTCCCTGGAAATCTTCAAGAGGAGACTGGATAGGCA